TAGCTGCCTTAAACTGTCATTTATCCTGTTCTCTATCAAAGACACAATTTAAGATAGAAAGTCAACAGAGATGTCTTAAGACAATGTTCTGCTAATCAAATGCTAGTTTTTTTTTTAATATAGTATCAGTAACCAATTATTTTGTGCATTTTGTGTACAAATCCAATGTTGTACTTTTGTACACAGTGACCAGTAGGGCAGTGACCTTCAAGAAGACACTTAAAAAGTACAGTCCTCAGCACTTCTCTTGTGCTACACAAACTAACTGAGGGTTGTTTGTTGTAGGTGACACAGAAAATAGCACTAGGTAGAAGAAAGCAGTAAAAGCACTGTGAATAATGATTTAACAATTAGTTTTGTCAAATGTTTTTGAACATTTCTGACACCTGGAATGACTTTTCCAGCTGTTGTTTTGACAAGCGGCTTCTACTCGTGCAGGAAATCATCAAGTTTTACAGTATAATTAATGCAGCAAAATAAACCATGTAGGTGGGGTTGTTTGTGGACAAATTGTTCAAAACAAGAAGCTCTTTCTGTTCTTTTGATTTATCTTTTTATCTCTCTTTCTCTCTCTGTCTCAGCATAAAAGTTAAATTCCCCACTCCCTCTGTATGTAATGTGAGAACTGCACAAGATTATTAAAGTAATAATCGCCCTTCCTGGTGCTATAGTCCAGAGACGTCACCCAGGAGGCTGCAAATTGCTGCAGTCACCATTAGGACAGCTGGGGCATTTCATACTAACAGCAGATGATGCATTTGGAGCAGCAGCATTGTAGAAGAGAAAAAATGTGTTAAGGCAGGAGCAGCCTATAATCAATATTCCCCACCTATGTGACCAATAACATTCAACCTTGTGCACTCAGCCACAGTGCTGGACGATAATTGACTTTGACTGATTTGTTTGTGGGGGAGCGGGGGAGTGGAGAGAGAGGGAGAATGTATAAGTTAGGACGTGAAAAGGCATGGAAGATGTGTAAATGAAAATCTTCACTTTTCATTATTTTAGAGGTGTAATAAAGCAGAGAAGAATGGAGATTGTATTTGATATTTTACACAGAAACAATTCTGGACCTTAATACTATTTCTTTTAGTGTGAGAGTTAACAGCAACTATAACAAATGCATAAACGTAATGAGAGGTTAAAATTTATAGTTGTCATGCTATATTCTGTTTAAAAAACAAATTATGATCTGATCTATTAAAAAGACGCAACTTTCAAGGCTAAAATAGATTTAATTTACAGTCCCTGTCTGGAGAGATGAAAAATATCCCTAAATCCTTGTAGAGATTTTGAAGAGGATCAGTGTAAGCAGGCCATTGGCTTTTATGACATAGCAAGTTTTTCTTTCTTTTATACTTCATTCTCTCTCACCCTCCTTTCTCTCACTTACTCTTACCCCACCTCTCTCTCCTGGGGCATTTATGTGGATGAGAGAGGAATGAATCACAGCAGAAGTACTGAAGAAATAACTTTTCATGTGAAAACACCTCAGCTTTTATGGCTTTACTAAATGATCCATAATGCAGGCGGGGAGCACTCAGTCCTGCAGATTAAGGCGGGTTGGAGCGGGAAGGAGGCTCAGAGCTGCCGCCGTTAGACTCTTCCACTGAAGCTCGCACCAGTACGGCACCAGCTGAGAAAGGCACAAATCTCTTTTACGAGGCTGCCTCTTAAATAGCTGTCAGTCTAGTGTCTCACATGTGGCGCACTCCTCCAGCTTCCCTCACAGTAATTGAACCATCTCTCCCAGAGTGCTGAAACGGTATGGGAAGCCATTCCGACAGCCTGTGTTGATACCATTAAACAAAAGTCGTGCATAAATCTAAGTATATAGCTATCGTCAGCCACCCTCCACTGAATCCTCCACGCCCCAAAAACAACACTCCACTATAGTCCATTTCACCAGAAATGATCCCAAGGTTAGTTTTTATCTGAATATTATTTGCATTATACTTCAAGGGATATTGCACACTACGTAACTATCATTTGCAGTACAAACTGTCTTACTATGTTATTATTTTGGAATGACTGAATAACTGTTGTTCTCCCCACCGTGACAGTGTCATAGCGTTGTCAGGTGTGCCATGTGTTCCAGTAAGAAACAGGCTCTTAGAAAGAAATGAATCATTTCTGAGCTGACCACCAGTTACAGCATTTATTGTAGCCATTCAATGATAATAACAATAATAACAATCATTTACCCATTATTATACCTTGTAACTTTCTTTTTTAATTAGCCATTAATCCTATGTAGCCAGTGGGCTTTTCATTGCCTTACAGAGGAGCTATTTTGTTATAACAACAGAATTAGGAAAGTTTAACTGTTAAATAAAGATGGAAAATAAGGTGTAATAAAAAGCTGAAATTCAGTTATGTCTCAGCCATTGTGCTCTGCTAGAAGATTAAGTGAATAACAAATCTGTAGCCTTATTATAATTGCACAGCAATGAGATGTTGTAACCTTGTCTAGTCCTCCTTGATGAGGCAAGTCACTGGGGGAAACATTGCTTAGCAGTGTTGTTCTCATAAATGCTAGGGAAACAGAAAAATTATAATGTGTTGTCAGATAATATGATTATGCTAAAAATCAACGTGGTTACCATATGAAAATTAGCATGTGGTGAGACCCACAATGCAAATATCTGCAGGCTGCATACATTAGCTTCACCCTAAGTAGAAAGTGTCTTATGCTGGTTTAGACTACTGACAAAATTAAGGTCACGCATGTTTATAGAGTATCTTAACTCCAAGCTGTCAAGCATCGATTCACTCATCTCGTCTGGTAGACAGCTGCACTTTTGACCTCACCCAATTTCTGACCGTGGGAGGTCAGGACTGTCAGCTCTAATGCACCTGTATGAATACCTGACAGCAAAGATGTGAAGAATGTGATGTTAAAGGTTTTTTGTGTAACCAGACTCAGCCTTAACAGATGCGCTCATGAGGGGGAATGAAGAGAGACAAACCTGTGTATTTTGGTCATTAAAATCATTGTTGCTGCAGTGCATGCTGTCTCATCTGAGAGCAATTTCTGTGTGAGGTTTCATTTGGTGAGAGAAAAACAGCTCTTTAGATAATGAATATCTGGGGCTTCTCTCCATTAGACATACTTCTGCTATATGCATTACATTCCAATCTGCAAAAGTCAATAATATTTATTGAATTCCCACAAGTCCATCAACAGTAGATGCTGCTTAAGTGAGACACCAGCCACGCCAACAGATACTGTAAGTAATGACTTGTCCCACTGAAAACACTGATGCAAGCCAGAGCTTTAATAAGAATCCAAGTGCCAAACTCACTGTCTGACTTCTCTTTTTAATATAAGCACAATAAAGAAGCATTTGCATTTATATAGTTCTTCCAAGCTAGCTGACGTTGCTGCCAGCCAGTATCCAGAAACAGCTGAGCGTCAGTGTGATTGTTACCTGGGGAAAATTAAGATAAGGGAATAATCCCATGGATGAAAATGGCTTTGTTGGGCCCACAGCAGTAGGGCCAAGCAGTCAGGAAAAATTAACAAAGCACTGCCTGTTGCCAGTAATGAAAACGCCTACCCTCCATTCAGCCTTATGTTTTCATTACGATAAGACTGATATCTCACTCATCCCCCAACTGGGATGCAACATATCTGAGGATCAGGCTAGTGTGTACTTTTGCATATTTGGATGAAGTAATGACTGTATGATATGACTCAGATTATGAATTTAAAAACTCAGTTGAGCTTAGTTAACATATCGTGATTTAAATCCACTGAGACCTATATCAGGATTTAACTGAAAGTACCAGGATTCATTATTCTTTTGTGTTACACATACAGTGTTTGAGAAACACCGATCCCTCAATGGGTCCATCATCCTTTTCACCCCAGTTGTTTCATAGGATTTTTATCTTTGACCTAATTTGTCACATTTAAGAGCCGCAAATATCAGAACCCTCATTTGTTTCAGTAGTATCATAGACATACTTTATAGTCCTGCATTATTTGCTGCCATAGCTGTATATTAACATGCACACAGACCAGCTCCGAGCTACATGTATGCAGACGGCGTGTGATAGGTGAGTGATAGGTCACAGCAACAGGGTAGTGATCTGAGCTGTCTGATTTAATGGCCGAGTGATTTTAATGATAATCCGCTGGCCTCTCCCTCCTTCTCTCCCCCACAGGAGCTCTGGTGGATGACAGGAAACAAACAGTGCTCTGACACTTCCCGCTAATTAGCATCATTAGCATATGGCCATTATGTGGCTGGACAGTAGCATGACAGGACTCTGAGAAAGGCTACAGTGGTGACCTTTGGTGGACAACACCAGCTGTCAGTAATTACCCATAGCTGTGGCCCAGGAGTGCCTCCCTTTTTAGTTTCCTTTTCCTGTAACTGAAATTATTTATAGAAAGAAAAATGTCTTTGCATGCTAAAAGGCAAGTATATGGTTGTTACTTAACCTAAAAATGAAGAACCTTATAGTTTTATTGTCTTTAGGCTGAGCTTTTTCTATGACTAAATAGAGCAATGTGTTTGCTGCCAGAGGCTTATGTGTGCACACTTTTGACAAAAATACTCCACTGAGTGGAAAATAATGACTTTGACACTGTTGCTCCACAAATCTTAATTTTACAGTTTTATGTAGAAATGACACTATTCTTTGGCTAGGTGCCAGTAATCCCAACTAACTGTTGTAGATTTCCTGAGCTTCTAATGGTCTTTGCAGCTACAGTATATTGTTGACTTTATGATGGCATGTTCCTTTTCCATGAGAGCCCTGCCCATTTGTGCTATGCTGTGGGCAGTGCTTCAAAAAAAAAAGCTGAACATTTTATATTTTGCAAAATTAGAAAACTTTATTCAGCTTCTTTCCTGATTCCACACATTTCCAGTTTTGCAAGCCTGCTATGCACTTACAAAACATTTGAACTGGCCCCTTAATAACCTCTAAATTAACTCTGCATGTGAACCGGCCTAAAATACTGACATTGTGTTGCCTCTTTACAACAGGAACATCCATTATGAAGGTTACTGCATCAGATGCTGATGACCCCACATACGGCAGCAGTGCCCGAGTGGTGTACAGCGTACTGGATGGAGAAAGGTTTTTCACTGTTGATAGACACACAGGTAAGAATGATAAAGAGTACACACTCAACATTCCCTCACTGATTTTTCTGTCTTCCTTCTTTTTTCAGCTCCTTAAGCAAAACTCAGAGAACATAATTCTGAGGGTAATCAAAATTTATTGCATGAAATCTGTTTTTTACTCAGTAACTACTGGCTCCTTTTAGCAAGCACTCAAAACACCATATTGCATAAGATGATTGGCTCTTCACAGTATTTAGTGCTGCCTTCAAGCCTGTCTATGGAGAATTGGTTTTATATAATAAGTATAAAGCTGACAACATAAACTCAGTTGATAGAAAAAGCAAGCATTACCTTGATATTAATATGAGAAACAAAAGAAAAAGAATAATTACACATAAATTACATGTACTTTTATTAGTGTTATTATTTTTTATATGATTTTATTTGTTTTTTCCTAACTGTTTCTGGTTCTGTTGTTTCCACCTGTTTTTTTGAGTTTGTTTAAACTCCAGTAAACCAAATGCACTGGGTGCACAGCAAGGTCTAAAAGTGTACACTTTTTACCCTAGTAGTGCTAGGGATCTAAGAATTACAAATATGTCTTAAGAATCACCTACCATTATATAAGAATCCTGGCTTATACTTCC